GGATGCTGGGAATCCTATCCCTGAACTGCCTATCTGCCCCAATCAGGGCTTCCTACCACACCGGCTGCCCCCAGGCTGCCCCCAACAGAGATGCTGCCTCCCCTGTCCCCTCCCCGAAGTCTGGTGGCAGTGAGAACACCCCGGGGGGTACTCCTGCATTGGGACCCCCCAGAACTGGTCCCTAAGAGACTGGATGGTTATGTCCTGGAAGGACGGCAAGGCTCCCAGGGCTGGGAGGTGCTGGACCGAGCTGTGGCAGGCACGGAGATGCAGCTGCTGGTACCAGGCCTCATCAAGGTATGTGCTGGATGGTACAGTGAGGGTCCTCCCAGGGGCTGGCCAGTGTCCTGCTCAATCCCCCAACCTCTTATCTTACCTTATATGACCATCTTCACCTCTCCTTCTCACCTCATCCTTATCCCCCAACTGCAAAGTCTTTACCAATGGGGCTGAAGTGGGAGTCCGGGGCCTAATCCGCTTCCTGGCACTCCATCCCCACCCCCAGGATGTTCTCTATGAGTTCCGCCTCGTGGCCTTTGCCGGTAGCTATGTCAGTGATCCCAGCAACACTGCCAACGTCTCCACTTCAGGTGAGAACCTGCCGGGGGAGAAGGGTGCTGGGGGGTTGCAGGAACTCGGAGCTCACTGACCCTCCCTCTTGGCTCTTCACCCAGGCCTGGAGGTATACCCATCTCGCACGCAACTGCCAGGCCTGCTGCCCCAACCTGTGCTGGCGGGTGTGGTGGGTGGGGTCTGCTTCCTGGGCGTGGCCGTCCTGGTGAGCATCCTGGCTGCCTGCCTCATGAACCGGCGCAGGGCTGCCCGCCGCAGACGCAAACGCCTGCGTCAGGGTAGGTACCCTCCGCTCTCAGTCTTGTGGGTGCAGAGCACTTGGCCATTTGAAGTTCAGCCCACCTGAAGGGCCTGCCCCTCTGGAAGTCCTTCCCACCAGGAGGACAACCCCTCCCCATGCATTCCCATAACCCTGCACCCCGTCTTGCCTGCTCTTTTCCAGCTAGATGGGGTTGGGTTGGGCGACTGGTGTGGGGTGAGAGGGTCAGCACCTGGGGCCCCGGAGGGGCTTGTGTTTTGCCTGTATCACCTCCTGTTCTCACACCCTTACAGATCCACCTCTTATCTTCTCTCCGCCCAGAAAGTCAGCCCCACAGTAAGTTCCTCCACTCATTGACTTCCTTTTGTCTTCTCCTTGTACTGGACAGTATCCTCTGCTTCCTCTTTTGTATCTTTGGGAGAGATGGGAGGACCCGGAGCAGAAGTTGGAGGGAGGTGACAACAGGAATGCAGAAGCCCCAGCCTGGAGGCGGGTTCAGTGTTGCCTGGGCCTTCCCTCCACCCCTCCACCATGTTGGTCCTTTCCTCACTTGCTCTCCCTAGCTCTGCTTTGTTGTGCACCAAACCTCTCAAGACCAGACCCTGATCTCCTGTCCTTCCCCAGCTCTGCTCCAGGCTCCAGCAGCCCTGACAGCGTGGCCAAGATGAAGCTCCAGGGCTCCCCTCTCCCTAGCCTGCGCCAGAGTCTGCTCTGGGGAGAGCCTGCCCGGCCCCCCAGCCCCCATCCGGATCCTCCACCCAACCGGGGACCCTTACCCCTGGAACCCATTTGCCGGGGCCCAGATGGGCGTTTTGTGATGGGACCCACTGTGGGGGCCCCCCAAGAAAGGTCAGACCTGGAGCGGGCAGAACCTAGGACCTCAGCCCAGCGTCTGGCTCGGTCCTTTGACTGTAGTAGCAGCAGCCCCAGTGGGGCACCCCAGCCCCTCTGTATTGCAGACATCAGCCCCGTGGGGTCTCCTCCAGCAGCTCCCCCAAGTCCCCTGCCAGGTCCTGGACCCCTGCTCCAGTACCTGAGCCTGCCCTTCTTCCGGGAGATGAATGTGGATGGGGACTGGCCCCCTCTTGAGGAGCCTGTCCCTGTGCCACCCCCAGATTACGTGGATACCCGGCCCTGCCACACCTCGTCTTTCCTTCGCACTCCGGACTCCCCTACTGTATCCTCCAGGGCAGCACTTCCCGGGGCTCTGGTAGGAGTTGGGGCCACTTCAGAGTCCCCTTACACAACTGACTGGACACTGAGAGAACGGTTACTTCCAGGCCTTTTCCCTGCTGCCCCTCGGGGCAGCTTGACCAGCCAGAGCAGTGGGCGGGGCAGTGCTTCCTTCCTCCGGCCTCCCTCCACAGCCCCCTCTGCAGGGGGCAGCTACCTCAGCCCAGCTCCAGGAGACACCAGCAGCTGGGCCAGTGGACCTGAGAGGTGGCCCCGAAGAGAGCATGTGGTGACCGTCAGCAAGAGGTGAGGGAAGTTCCTGCCCATCCTTGCCTTGACCGCAGTCCTGTCCTCTTGTCCCATATTCCACCCCACCCAATACCCTATACCTTCCCTGCTCCACTCCACTCTGGGACCAGGAGAACCTGTCTCCTTTCAGAACCTCTTTCTGAGGTCCAGGGATTTGCAGAGAAAACCTATGGCCCAACCTGAGTTTGGGGACCCTGGGTTTAGACATTTTTGGATACCCACTGTTACTCCACCATACCACATGTTTGTCCCTTTTAACAGGAGGAACACATCTGTGGATGAGAACTATGAATGGGACTCAGAGTACCCTGGAGACATGGAATTGCTGGAGACTTTGCACCTTGGGCTGGCCAGCTCCCGGCCACAACCTGAAGCTGAGCCAGAGCTTGGTGTGTGAATCTCCAGAAAGATAGGCCTTCTGCACTGTCCCACATGGCCCCTGCCGCCTTAGGACTCGTCTGCACAGACAGGCCCTGTATCCCAGGCTCCTCTGCCACAGACTGTGTCTTTGCTTCCTTGACTCATCTGCACCAAAAGGCCCTTTAGAGCTTCACATCTGGCCCTTCCTCCACTGAACCACAGGCCTCTTCTTTCATTGTCCTGCCCTTATCTTCTCTTGCAGGTGGAAAGACTCCAGAGGAGGGCTGCCTCCTGAACACTGCCCAAGTTCCTGGCCCTGAAGCCCGCTGTGCTGCCCTGCGGGAGGAATTCCTAGCCTTCCGCCGCCGCAGAGATGCCACTAGGGCCCGGCTACCAGCCTTTCGACAGCCAGTCTCCCACCCTGAACAGGCCACTCTGTTGTGAACACCTCTAATGTGAGGCTGGAAAAAAGCCTATGAACCTGCAAAGGAGGCCCCCAATGAGACCTAACTCCAAACATGGGCACCTTCCCTGCCCCTTTGGTGCTTGGGCACTGACCCTGATGGTGGGCTTGGGGGAGCTTTGTATGAGATGTATGTGCTAACCCCCCTAGGTGAATCTGGGGATTGAAGCAGGGATCTTAGTCTGCCCCCGTGTGTGTGTGTGTGTGTGTGTGTGTGTGTGTGTGTGTTTTATTTGTGGTGTGAATGAAGTTTTTTACAGATGAATAAAGAAAATCCGAAAAATGTTTTGATGTTATTTCATGTTCAATTTAAGAGGTGGGGAAATTCCTGAACCCTCAAAGAAAAAGGGACTCTCTGAATGAATGGGGTACATTCAGCTACTAAGGTTAGCCACTAAAGACTAGCCATTAAGTTAGAAGCTGTGAGAAAATACAAAGTTTCCTGAAGAGGAGGCTTTACCCTTGGGGAGTTCTTTCCACCCAGGGAGGCAAACAAGTAAAGAAATAGTTACAGTATGATGTGATAAGTTCTGTGATAAAACTATGTGTTGCTTATTATGTAGAACAAAGAAATGAGTTCAGTTGGAGTTGACATTTAGAGAAAGCTTACAGTGTGTTCCGGGACAAATGCTACATATGGGGGAGTTTGGGGATCCTTGCAGAAGGTGGTAATAGTGATAATAGCATTCACTGTGTGCTGGGCACCGCTCTAAGCTTTTCACAAGTACTGCTTAATCCTTTACAGCTCTGTGAGTCAGGTAGCACAGTTAGCTTGTTTCCCAGATAGGGAACAGAAGCATAGAGTGCTTTAGTAATTTTCCCAAAAGTCACACAGCAGGTAAGGGGCCAGAGCAGGTGAGATGACAATCGAGGAAGGAAAAGCATCCCAGGCAGAGGCATAGCCTTTGTAAAGGCACAAGGAATGAAAACTCTCCCACTCCATGAATCTGGGCAGAACAGGGAGGGGATAGAGAACAGAAAGGTCGAGGGGATGTCTTTGGTGTCTTTGTAGATGTCTTTGAATTCCAGGCTTAACAGGGGACTCTACCATAGGTGAAGAATTCCACTGTGCTGGAAGTGTGTTGCTTGCCTATCATCTGCAAGGGCCTGTTTTTCCATCCCCAGCATTGCAAAAACAAAATCCAAAAAATACTCTACTGGTGATTGTAAGTAGGAAAGTGCACCCAGGGGTACTTAGCTCAATAGGATCCTGAAAGAGTGGGAGGTAATCTTTGGATCCCTAAACCATGCCGCCCTTCAGCCTAAGAGACAGAGGAGCCCTCTGCCAACCTCCTCCAGAGCCCTCTCCTAGTTTCTTCAGGATTTAGGAAGAGATACAAAAAACAATCATAGAGGAGGAGCTGAAAGGGTGAGAGAGATGAGGTCCGAATCCAGGTCTCAGTTCGGACCACACCCTTTGGGCCCCAGGCAAGGAGTGACCTCACTGTTAGTTTCTGCCCAGGCTTGAAGCAGGTGGCAAGCAAGACCACGTGCGGATGCTGTCCTAGCCTGCAAGCCTGTCTTGTCACACCCTAGTCAGTTGGGAGCTGTGTGGGGGTCTTGTGCCTCCATTTACCTTGCCAAGTCTCTTTAAAACAGGAGGCTTCTTTCCCCCATAAAGACGCCGGCAGTCTTAAACTAATAAGGGCAGGTTTCCCACTGGGACCCAAGTCTATAGGTTCCTGGGTGGAAATGCAGTGTTTCATGGGTGGAGACCACGACAGCTACATCCTAGACTCTCCAGATCCTTTAACTCTCCATCAAGCCCACTGCTGGTCTCTTTCTCAAGCATTTCTCTTGGCTAGTTCGCTGCGGCGCCTTTAAACCCTCTTGGCCCTTGCCCCGCCCCCGGTCCGCCCCGTCTGAGGCGGGACCCTCCAGAAAAACCTCTGGCCAGCCAGCCCTGGCGCACCACTCGCCGCTGCAGCCCCTGCCGTGCGTGTGTCGTTATCCCGCCCTCTTGGACGGTGAGCAGGACCCGGGGACAAGGCGGGGGGCACTAGATACGTGGTATCTAGAAAGCAACAAGCCAGAACTTCCAACTTGCTCCAGGGATCTTGGGGATCTCGGGTTGGAGCCCAGGCAGGGTCCGAAGATTGCTCTGCCCCGCCCCACGCTGTCAGGTCCCGGTGTCTTGACCGGGCATTGCTGGGCGATGAGGTCAGGCGAGATATGCTAGTGCTTAGACGGGGCGTCCGTCTGGAGCAGGGGCTCAGGCACCAAGCCCCACCCTCTGGCTCCCGCGCCGCATCCCGGTTGGGAGGATGAAACGAGGGCGTCGGATGTTAGCTGGCTGGCCGCGACTGGCGGAGCGTCCAGGCTCTGTTGCTCACCTCGCTCTAGCTCAGCGCTCCCGGGTCTTCACGCGTGACCCTTCACTTCCTGGTTCCTGGAGCACGTGTGGCCACTGCCTGCCCACGGCGACCTCAGGCCATCTTTCCTGTACCTGCTGCTAACTCGCTTTCCTGGGGACTCGCTTTCCTTGGGGCCGGGGGTCTCGGCGCATGGGTCCCAGTGGCCTCGCCATCTGTGAAGCTCCAGTCGTCTCCAGGAGACTTCTTCGACCTCAGGCAATTTTGGGGGTGCTGCCCTGATTGCAGTGCCCTGACTTTGGGGGGGGGCGGTATGGGAGAATGGCTGCTTTCCCTCCGAGCCTTGCCTGAGTCCAACCGCCACCCCCTCCTATGCCCCCTGCTGCTGGGAAAGCCGGTGGTAGCCGCGGGCTGCGGGCGGGCTTCCCAGACCACTGCGTCACCCCAGTGGCGGGCCGGGCGGTGGGTGACTCATCCTCAGTAACGGCCCAGGGTGTGGCTGTGGGGGTGGGGGCGGCGGCTGCAAGGAGCTGGACCTATAGGACCGGAAGTGGCATGCTACCTTCCCCAACTCCGCAGGCCTCCAGGAGACTGTACCCGGAGGTTCTGGGGGATCGCGGCATCAGTGGGGCAAAAAGAAACGGGGATCGAATGTGGAGATGCGGTGCTGGAGGAGACCTTTGGTGCGGATGGGTTCCCCCCTGTTCTGCCTGTGACTCAGAGCCCCAGTCAGGGACATCTCCCCATCTCCAACCTCCAATCCCCCTCCCAATTTCTCATTACTTAACCCGCAAACCTCAAACTGCTGAAGAGGCCAAAGGTAGGGCGGGGCCAGCAGAACGCTACCATTTCAGAACCAACAAATAGTCTTTGTCCATGCGCCCCCCCACCACCATGGCCTCTGCCCCCTTGGGGATTGGCCTCTAATCCTTTCTTCATTCCATTCCTTTGCATTCCAGGATTTTCAACTATGGGGGCTATCTCAGAACACACCTTGCCTCCCCTGTATGGTTCTTCTGAATTACCTTGAACCTGCTTCTCTATCCCAAACTGGTGACTTGCCATCTCCAAATGCTCTCTACACCCTCTGCAGCCACCTTCTTGAGGAGTCCCTGGCATCTAACTGTCCCCAAGAACTGCTGTGAAGATCCCACTTTGTGCCCCTGTGCTCAAGAGTCTCTTCACCATGAAGTCTGTGGAGTGGGTGTTCCTGGTGCCCCCACCCTGCCTCCAGTGTTTGGTACACAGAAACCATAGCAACGGCCTAGCCTCTACCTCCTCCCCTCCTCTGGAGCAAGCCTGTGGCTTCCTGTTTGTATAACTTCAGCTTTCTCTTCTGCTTAGGACTCTAGGTGGTGAGGGGGCTGCCCCTTGGGTTGGGGGTTGCCCTAAAGCTGCCCTTTAACCACAGTCCTCCCACTGTCTTTCTGTGGCATCTCTCTTTCAGAATAGTCCCAACCCCAAATCTGAGCTGGGAAGTTCCTTTGTATTCCATCTGTGTAGTCAAGGAGAGTCCCTCTGTCTTCCCAATTTAACGCCCCAGTCAAGAACTCTGAAATCCCCCCCCACACCCCAGACCAGGAAGGTGTTCCCCTTTCCTTCAGCCTTGGCCTTCAGTAGGGTGAGGTGAGCTTCAAGCCCCGGGTTCTGGCTGGGGCTGGGGCTGGGGCTGGCTTGCCTTTGGTGGCCCTTTCTCAGTTTCCCCACTGTTGTAACATTGTGGGTGGGTGAGGGGAGAGTTGTTGCCACCGCTGCAGTCAGTTCTATAGGGACTCAGCTGCTGCCTGTCTTAAGTAGTGTGGGGAAGAGGAACAGCTGCTGGCCTGGCTGGGCCTAGCTGGGACTTCTCCTTCCCAAAACTCTACCCTGTGGCTCTGGCACCGCGGGGCTATAGGGGAATGGACCCAGAGTGGAGCAGAGACACTACAGCTGGAAGACCTGGACCTGCCAGCTGTGTCCAGGCGCCAGAATTAGGGAGGGGCCCTAAACATTCACCCTTCACCCTGAGGTAGGTCTGGGTGGCTATGTCTGTCTTACCCTGGTTGTGGGGGACACCGGAAGGTTTGGGGTCCTTCTCTTCCCTCTTAACTCTGGTGTCCGGGTTAATGATTCTCCTGCCCTTTATGTACCTGTGCTATAGTGCTCTCTGAACCTCAGGCTGATTGGCTCTCTAGAAACAGCCCTGAGACCCAGGTGACCTAGAGAAACTGCCCCCCCCAAAAAAGAGGTCTGGAAGTTGGACTGGGAAAAGGGAGTTTGCTAATGATAGTAACCCTTAGCCCCCTCCTCTCCCTACAGTCTTCCAGCTACTCCTCTGTGGACACAAGTTACAGGCTTTTATAGACCCAGTGGTGGCTGAGCAGCTGGGCTGGGCTGGGCTGGGTGGTGGGAATCTTGTCTCTCTTCCTCTTGGGACCCAGCCATGCCCCCGCCTGCATTCCCTCAGCTGATTGTGTGTAGGGCTCTGGTGGTGTGGGTTAAGACCCAGACTGACATTTATCTGGCCCAGCTTTCAGGCAGGGGGAAGTGGGGGCTGGGTCACTCTTAATGAGGTTTTAAAAATAACTGATTTATGGGGAGGATTTCTGCCGGAAATGTGCAGCTCGATAAGCTAGAGTAGAAGGGAGCAGCCATATTGTTATGTGGGGGAAGGGTCCGTCCTGAGACACACAACCTCTGGGGCTGAGGGGTATGAAGCTATCTGAGGCAGCCTGGCTCCTTGTTCTTCATCAGAGCTCCGAGGCCCATTGAGGGGGTGGCGGGATTATTTAACCTGGGGTGCTTCAGAGAGGGAGCCAGGATGACTTCATTCCTTCAGTCTGACCTGGCCTGGAGCCAAATGTGGGAAGAAGGGGTGGCTCCCTTTCCTGTTCTTGAGCACAGGTACCTACTTGTCCTGGGGATCCCCTTTTGGGAGCAACCAACCAGCTCCATTTCAGAGAAAAGTAGATCCCCTCTAGGAAGGTGCTGGGGCAGGAAATGGGGGGGGGTCTGTGTCTATTTTCTATTTCTGTTTCCCCTTGGCATCAGCAGCACCACCAGGATTTGCTCAGCAAGCCCCTGGGTGAAGGACCTCAGCAGTGAAGTGGTGGTGGAAGGCAGGCTGCCCACTGCAAGGTGCTTCCACCTCAGGCCAGTGGTCAGAAACCACCTCGTACTTGCTAACCAAGGTCCTCAAAGTTCAAGAAACCCTTCTTTGTGCTTCCCCATTTTTCCCTCTCTTTTCATGTTTTCCGGAAAATACCACCCAAGGTTCCTGCAGTACTGTCCTGTCGCTACTGTAACAAACTACTACAAACTTAGTGACAAACATGTAGTATCTTTAGAAACCCCAACAGGGATCTTACTAAGATCCAGGGGTAGCAAGGCTGCATTCTTTCTGAGGGGATGAGGGTAGATTCAATTTCCTTACCTTTTCTGGCTTCTAGCCACCACCTGCATTGCATATTCACTTACTAAAGTGAATATGCCTCTTTCACTTACTAAAGATCCTTGTTTATGACATTGGGTTCACTTGGATGATGTAGGATAGTCTCCCCATCCCAAGATCCACAAGTATTGAGAATTAGGACATGGGCACCCTTTGGGAGTCATTATTCTGCCCACCACAGCTCCTGGAAGGGAAAGGAGAATTTGTTTTGATTGCCTGGTTTCTCAGGATGATCCATTTGCCTGCTAAAATCTGCCTCCCTCTTTCAGCAAGCTCTCCCAGACTGCTTCTGCCCATCATCTTCTGTTAATTCTTACTACATGTGATCTGAATTGTGCAGTTTGCTTTTGCAAAAACTGACCATCCCAAATGAGGAGCTATACCTCCCAATCGTTTACCCCATATTCTATTCCAGTGGGTCTTATGCTTCATTCCAGTAAGAGAACCGTTTGTTCAAATGAAATTGAGTGGGAATGCTCAATATAATAGACAGACTGCTTATCGTGGTCTGGGGGGAATCCAGAGATTGTGCATAAGGCCCCACATTTCCCAGAGTTCTGAGAAGTTCTACTCTAGCCCACATCTACGTCTAGGGGTCAAGGTGAAGCTTCCTTTATAAGGCAGCAGTTCTACTTCTCAACCATGGGCTCCCCCTGGAGACTAGGGTGTCTGTCTCCTCAGGCAGAATCCTCCACTGTGTGTGTGTACACAGTATTGACCACGGGCCTGCTTTTGTCCTTTTACTAGCTTCCTGTAGCCACCACAGCTGTTCAGAATGGCCAACAGGGGACCTACATATGGCCTGAGCCGGGAGGTGCAGCAGAAGATAGAGAAACAGTACGACGCTGACCTGGAGCAGATCCTGATCCAGTGGATCACCAGCCAGTGCCGCAAGGACGTGGGTCGACCCCAGCCTGGACGTGAAAACTTCCAGATCTGGCTCAAGGATGGCACGGTGAGAGCTGTGCCCTCCTGGATTGGAGATGCAGGGAGAGCAGGACGGGGTCTGGGGGGATTTAGGATTAAGGAACCGAAGAAGGAAAGAATGAGGGCATGCAGGCCCAAGGTCTTCCTTGGCCTGAATATGTTTTATCAAGGATGAGAGGACCCACGCTTTCTTCCCTCTACACAGAGGGAAGATAACAGTGTATGTGCCTCCTCCACCCTGAAGAAGGCTGTAGGTGACATCAAGGAAGAATAGCGCTGAGAAAGAACTGTGGGAGGGTAGGCGCTAGGCAGTGATACTGGCGTAACAAGGAAAGACTAAACACTAGCCGTACACTCTGGGCTGCGGGGCAGTGTGCTGGGCAAGAGGGACCCTGAGGCTTGCTCCAGGTGAAGGAACCTCTCTGGCTCACTGTCTCTAGTGCTGAGGGTTGTACCTGCTGATCTGAAGTTGGCATATCCTCACTTCTGGATACCTGCGGTCTCCACTCAGGTGCTGTGTGAGCTTATTAATGGACTATACCCGGAAGGGCAGGCCCCCGTGAAGAAGATCCAGGCCTCCACCATGGCCTTCAAGCAGATGGAGCAGATCTCTCAGTTCCTGCAGGCAGCCGAGCGCTATGGAATTAACACCACTGACATCTTCCAAACGGTGGATCTCTGGGAAGGTGGGCGAGGGCCCGGGGGCTGTCCTCCAGGACACCACAGATTGGGCTGGTCCATTTCAACCAGAGAGAAGGAACAAATTTTGAGCTTTTTGAAGACAAAGAAGGGTGTGTGTGTGTGTGTGTGTGTGTGCGCGCGCGCGCGCACGTAAGTGTGTGTATGTGTTTCATGGAGGAGTTGGGCCATGTTGGGGCTTGGAATGGGAACAAAGAGTAAAACGAGTTTGGAAGCCAGGCCTGGCTTAGTGAGCGAGGAGGAACTCTGTCATCCAGGACCTCAGCCCTGCTGAGCCAATATATTCATCTTTCCAGGAAAGAACATGGCGTGTGTGCAACGGACGCTGATGAACCTGGGTGGGCTGGCGGTAGCCCGGGATGATGGGCTCTTTGCTGGGGATCCCAATTGGTTTCCTAAGTAAGTATTGCTAGGGGAGCCAAAGAGCCCTGCCCATTCCTTTTCCGAGGAAATATCTGATGGCTCTGTGGCAGCAAGATTGCAAGTTGGAGGCTAGCTTCTGCCACTTTGAGACCCTGCCTCAAAATAAAAAAAAAAAATCAAGAGGGCTGCTGGCCCAGTGATGGAGCGCCCCTGGATTCAATCCCTAGTCTCAGTACCTCAAAAAGTAGCCACAAAACCAAAACAACAAAGCACTTTCCTATCTTACTCCATCCTTACAGCTCCCTGGGGTGGTAAGTGACTGTCCCTTTGGAGAGGTGAGGAGGTGGCTTCAGACAGCTCAAGGACCTCAAGGGCAGAGTCAGTGCCAGCCCTTGAGCCCACTACGGAGCCTGTGCTCTGTTCAGGGAAGAGCTGTACTGGGGCAGCCTCTGGCTTCCTTCCAACCAGCATTCCCTTCCCATCCAGGAAATCCAAGGAGAACCCTCGGAACTTCTCGGACAACCAGCTGCAAGAGGGCAAGAACGTGATTGGGTTACAGATGGGTACCAACCGTGGGGCGTCTCAGGCAGGCATGACCGGCTACGGAATGCCACGCCAGATCCTCTGATCCCACCCTGCTCCTGTCCTCCTGTGAACGGTTAATATATATGTATTTGTATATTTTAGCAATGACATTCCTTGAGAGCCCCTGGAGACCTTCAGCTCCTCTCTGCCAGGGTGGGGATCCAACCTGTCTTGTTGGCAGCCTCTCTTCCTGTGCTTACTAATACATTCCTTCCCCACCCCCATCAAAACTGGATCGACTTCTCCCTGGGACCAAATTCTGGGGGCAGGGGTAAATCTCCCTCTCCCTGCTTGGCCTCTCCTCTTTGCCTCTGACCTCTCCTGACCCTGAGTTCTGCCCTCTCAGTCCGTTTCTTGGCTGGAAGTCAGGGATGCTGCCCTCTGGCCCGACGCTGGACTGGCCATCCTTCCACAAGTATGCTTCTCCCACAGCTGTGGCTGCGGGGACTTAATTTATAGGGAGGGGCCTGCGGCCACTGCCACCCCAGCCACAGCTGGGCTGTACTCACTGCACATCTGGGGCAGCCTTCTTTAGCAGAGGTCCTCTTGGCTTTTTATTTTCCACTCCCCTCTATGTGGCTGAGGGGTGGGGTTGAAGGGACAGAGGAGGGAGGGCTGCCCACCATGGTGTGGGGCTTGAGAAATATGAGTTTGCTGATTTAAATAAAGAATCCCAGTGTTTTTTGGATGGACTCTGGCTGTGTCTAGGGCCATTGTGCCCACTGTGGGGAAGGGAGGAATACCGGGCAAAGTGCAGAGAACGGTACAGGGGAGAGGGCAGAGATAAAAGACTGCTGTGCTGAGCTCTATCTTCAGGTGCCTCCCCCATCCTCTTTTGTTCTTGGTTAGGGACAGGTGGGCTGGGATTGAGAAGGGATAGGACCTCACAGCTGTCCTTGGGCTGAGAGCCATAATGCAGAACACGTGGGCAGTATTCACAGGAAGGTGAGGCCCGCCCTACCTAATGAACTGGGCAGTCCTTCCTGGTGCCTCCAGCCTCCAGCTGGGCCCACCCCTGCAGCCCGATCAGCTTCTGAGCCCCTGCAGGAAGGTGTAGGGGGTTGGCACAGCCCTTGAGTCCTGGCAAGTGCAGCTGTCTCCAGGTGGGAGGCCCCTCAGGCAGCCTCGGGGTTCAGGTGGCCTGGGTTGGAGGTCACCGCCAGGTTGGAGGCTAAGGTGGGGCTGCAGCCATGAAGGGGAAGTGGAGCTGGGAAATGAACAAGAATGAATTGGTGGTGGTGGCTAATGGGAAGAGACCTTGATCTATCCCAGGCAGCCACCTGTGAGCTACATTCTGGGAAAAGCCTAGCCAGGTGGCCTGGGACCAAGATAATCAACTTTGGGTCAAACTTGTCTCCAGTCCCCAGTTCCACCTGGGCAAGAATGTTGCACGCACAGTTTCAATCCCCAAGTGTTACCTTACCCCCGGGCTCTGCTGATCAGACCTGCTATCTTCCCAGGGAGAACTTGAGGAACCCTGGGTTGGGCTCTTGTATTAGGGCCCACCCCTATCAGCCAGCCTCAGGGACCTGCCCACCCTCATCCTTTTCCCCTGCCCTGTTTTGGGTATTTCTCTCTCCTTGTAGGAGAAAGACACAACATGGTGCCTGAGCATGAGAGATTTTGCAGGGTTCATAAGCAGAGAACTTGTATTTTCCACCCCACCCACACACTCCCCTGCCTCACTGTGGCTACCTCTTCTGAGTAGCACCTACTATGTGCTACCATACCACGGTCCATGGATCTCAGCCTTCTCCTGACACCACACTGTGGGAAAGTTGGTATTTGCTTGCTTGCTGCGCTCCCATGGGCTGTGGCACAGATAAGATAGACGGCAGCCTGTGTGCAAATTCCCAGGGGATTAGCTATCACTCCACCCCTTTATCTCCCATTTAGGAAGGCCTTGGGGAATGCCAGTGGGAGAGAGGGATGTCATTATCCCCCCTCCCCAAGTTTCAACTTTCTCTGATTTAACTGTTTATAGCTATACATTATTGGTCACACACTTAACAGTTTTCTGAGACGTGGTATGTCCCAGTGCTGACCCTTAGCCATCTCTTAGCAGATTCTCACAAAAGTGTGAGGTGGATGTTACCATATTATTATTGCCCCGATTTTATCCCCAGATGAAGACACTGGGTCTCAGAGAGGACAAGAAACTTGCCAAAGACCACACCGCAATTAACCAGAGAATCAGGAATTTATCCCAGGGCCACCTGACTGAAGGTCCAGCTGAGCCTGTGCAATTTCAGGCTTAGCCAAGAGTGGAGCTTTGGAGGGACTGGGGAATGAAAGGTGTTGGAGTGGGGTTCATCTGTAAACTAAAGGAAATAATTCCTCATAAACCTGCCGTGAAAATCACATGCAATCCGTGTGGCCAGCACTTTGAGTAGTGAATGCTAGCACATAATAAGTGCTCAAGAAACACGGGGGAATAAAGGTGGGGTTTGTGTGGACAGTCAGCTGGGAAAGAGCTGATGCCAGGACCTATCTCTACTGAATGGGGTCAAAGATGCTTTGAGTAGCCCTAGCTGCACTCCGACAATAACATTTTCAAGGCAAACTGGATTTCAGAGGTACTTATCTCCCTTCTGGCTGCAACCGCTATCTACCTGCCAAGTTTTGCGAAGAATCTTCATGACTCCTCTTGATCCGGTGGGTTCTGTAACTGTCTTTTGGAACTGACTTTCATTTGGCCTCTCCAAGTTTTTGTGTTGTTTTCTGTTTACCTTTTAGCAAAAGAACTGTGAAACCTGAGGTCACAGCTTCATCCATGATTTGACCTCCTTACTTCTTGAGCTACTCCTTCAGGCCCTGGAGCCCAGACTGGGTCCCGGCAGTGTGAACAGGAGAAAGAGCTCTCTGTATAGCATCCCCTCTTCTCGCCATTTCCTAGCACCCCATTCTCCTTGGCTTTCCACACTGGCGTTTGATAATACTGCACTTATTGGCCTGTCCCAGCTAACTAGAACAGTCTCCTCCAGGCCTCACCAGGGCTCACTCCTTTATCTCCTTCAAATGTCCTAATCACCCTATTTAAAATTGCATACTCCACCCTTAGCCTGTATCCTATCCTCTTCCCCTGATTTCATTTATTACCTGACACCAAATATGTTTTATTTATTTTCTGTCTCCACCCATAGAATGTACACTGCTCAGAAGCAGATTTTTGTTGGTTTTGTTCTTGTAGTGATTGGCATGTTGAAGGTGCTGAATAAATATTTGTTGAATGAATGGATGAATGTCACAGCACCCTCCTGTTTGTGATTCCCCTGGACTAGTAACACTGTGCCCAATCAATCCAGAGTCCCAGCCACCCAGCTTGTCACTGGATCTGAGCTGAAACTCAACTCATTTCTCAGGTCCCATGCTTCCCTATCACTCAGTTCCAAACAATAAAAACCCAAGAAGCCTCACTCTCTACAGCCAGGGGAGTGGAGTCTGAGGAGGGAATAGAGGGTGGTGTGTGTGCTCTGGACAAATGGAAGGCACATTGAGGAATTGGGGGGTGGGAGACCAGGGAAGGAGAAAGAGGTAGAAGCCAACTTGGGTTCATGTACTGTTTGCCTCCAGCCTTGAAATGGAAAATCACTGTGGGGGTGGAAAGAAAGTAGGGTTGGCTCACGGTGGCCAATGGGAAGGAGAGTGGGGGAAGGGAGCTAGGGAGGAGGAGGAAGAAGAGGGCTTCTGACGCTCCGCCCAGTTTGGCTCACCTGTAGGTAAAAAGCATAGAGCTGTACAGTCTATTCGTAGGCAAGTGAGTGTTCACCCAGGTGTATGGGAATTCAGTGCACTAGGGCTTCAGGTGGCAGGAGCTGAGTCTGTGGCTTGTGAAGAGGCTTCCTATGCGTATGTGTTTAGTCAGGATTGAGGATTATGCACAGAGGTGTTGGTCCTTTGTGCGTAGGCATCCGTGTTTGTACATGATTTCATAGAGAACAAAATGTCCCATCCCTGCTTCTACAGCTGAAGGATCCCTTTGAGAACTTGGCAGAAGGCCCAAGGAACAGTGAAACAAGGCAAGGTCTGGACAATAGGACCCCAGAGAGGGAACAATAAGGGGCCTGGGATTAAAATTTTTTGAAGGAAAGGCTAAAAGAGTGAATTTGTACCTGTCTCCTTGCAAAGAAATGGGTTTTAGTCCCAGTGGTCAGGGAGGTAGATTAGAAGAAAATGCCCTGAAATTGCATCTAGATAAATGTAGGTTAGACAAGGAAAAATGATCCTCTTGACTCTGAAGTTTATTAGCTTCTGGAATCTCTGAAGGGTCAGGGGGAATGTCTTCAATAATAGGTAAAAATCTCATCTCCTACGGGAGGAACATGGGCAGTTCTGCCTGGGAATGCTCATTTTTTTTTTTTCATTCATATATGCATTCAACAATCACTGAGATTCTACTCTGTGTCAGACCTTATGGGGTATGGGTTACTGATACATGATCTCTGCCTGAAGTGTGCGTGGTCCTGTAGGGAGATAAAACATGGACAGGGGCGTGATGATTCAACAAGCCAGTGACCTGTGCCTTTGGAGGAATGCAGGTAGGGCTCTCTGGGAGGCTTTCTTGCTAACACTCCCACCCAGGCTCTGGAATTCCCAAAAGCCTTGGGGGATCTTAGGGATTATCTCTCCTGATCTGCCCAGGGGAATGGGAGAGCTTGCTGGGATTGCTTCTCCAGAAAAAGGAGCGGTCACTGGCTCTGTGCTTAGAGGTCAAGTTTCAGTGTGGGGCTATGGAGAGGGGCTTTCCTTTCCTGCCTATGATTGGGGTAGTCAAAGAGACCTGAGTTGGGGTGCGAAGGGATTGTTAGGGAAGGACAAATCACTATCACTGGGGTTGGGATGGGTGTGAAGGATCAAACACCCCCTCAGCCACATACACTGGGGCTGTTATATCACTTACCCCACTGTTGACAGGACATTGGGGTTCTAGGAGAGGAATATGGGTCCCTGTGGGACTGAAGCATTTTGAAGAGGAGGATGTCCACTAACTTTTCTTTCTTTCTTTTTTTTTTTTGTGAGTGTGATACTGGGAATTGAACCCAGGGATGCTCTACCACTGAGCTACATCCCCAGTCCTTTTTATTTTTTATTTTGAAACTGGGTCTCTCTAAGTTATCCAGGCTGGTTTTGATTGCAATCCTCCTGCCTCAGCCTTCTGAGTCACGGGGATTACAGGCGTGTGCCACCATGCCTGGCTAATATTGGGCGTTTCATTGAGGGGAAGGGAAGCCCCGGAAGGATTTTAAGCATGAGAATGAAGAGTTGCCTATTGTGTTTTATTCAGAGAGTTCTGTGAGGCTCCCGGGTAGAGAATGGCCTAAGATTGGGGAGATCTGTGACAGGCAGGCTTAGTAAGTTATTGTAGTAGTCTGGGCCAAAAGGACAGTGGCCTGGGTTAAGGGCAGGATAGTGGAGATGGCAAGAAGAAAATGAAGCTCAAGTTATTTGGTGCTCTCTCTCTGTAAAGGAGAGGGAGAGGGGTCAAGAAAGACATCCTTTGGTTTCAGCAATGCAACAGGATAGGAAATTCAGGAGAAGTGGGTACTATCACAAAATATCAAACCAATAGTCCCAGGTTTCAATTTTGTGAATATTTCAATGAAATTAGCACAGGTGCATTAAAATAGGTTGGAAATCATAATCTAGAGCTTATATATATTATTAATTGATATTTTAATTACTATATTACAGT